TATATATACAGATGTTTCTAGGCCTAGCCTAGGCGGTGTAGGATCGTTTTGGCCCGGGTCGACTGGGCCGGTAGGCTAGGCTAGGCTCCACTGAAGCTACAGCCAAGGCTAGGCCTACTACTACTCTAATCGTTTTTATAGACAAGAATCACACTCACCACTCATTCCAACTCTGCTGCAAATTTCTTGCGAAACGTCTCTTTTTTGGTTAACACTTTTACAATCAGCATTTGATTTTCATACAAGATAGTGTCTAAACCTCCAAAATCAGGCGCTCAGTTTGATCGTCCATCGCGTCGCGAGTTCGGTCAACCGGTGTGTGTGTGTGAAAGTTGACTACAGTACTTTCATCTTCCCAGACTACCCTCATCTGATTGGCTGATACGTTTATCGTTGCCGATAACTATAAAAAAAAAATCGCTTCAAAAGTGATTCGACCAATACGATAACTTTATCGCTCACGATAATCGTATCGTTATCGTTATAGTGTGACCACTTCCATTAATTTACACCACACTGATAATTTTTATCGTATCGGTATCGCTATCGGTATCGTTATCAGTGTAGGTGAGACCTGGCCTTTAGCTATTGTTGAAAAAACATGCAATACAAAAATAAATCGAAGAACCAGAATATCATGAGAAATTAATTAATTTGTAGTGGAAGCGGTTGTCGTAACGGATGTGGCTCGGACTTTTAATCCTAGTTGTGCACGTCGCTTATTTCCGTTGCAAGACACCTTACCTTACTGTGTCTCTATCCAGGAATATAAATGGTAACCAGGAAGGTAAAAAGACTTGTGTGGGAGATGTGGCAACCCCAACCCCCCACCCACTTAACAGCCTAGCATAGGCTGATCCAAATGTCAAGGAAAGAGAGATGTGCACTCCAGCCTATAATCCCAGAACTCCAGGTTTTGACATTTGCCTTACTGAATAAACTACAACCAGATCCAGATTCATATTTACTTTTGTTGTTACATTGAATTCGTCACTATAAAATAGATAGATGGATAAAACAATTTATTTTTTACTGATTTACACACCTTTTAAAATACTAAAATTCATTAAAAAAAAAAAAATTAAGGGTCGTATTGAAAAAAAAGAATCAGTACTATTTGTGTGCAATTTACACTAACTACACTAGGGGAAATTAATCTTGTAATCTAATTTTACAATCTGTACTATTAACTTCCTCAAATACGGGCCAACAGATAAGTATTTCAAATAGAAATATCTATTGTTTTCTTCCTGTTCAGTGACTCAAAACAAATGGTAGGCCTATATTTCAAACTCGTCCTCTGCATGTTTTAATCAAGATAATTTCTATTGACAAAAACTAATATAAATTAGACTTACTATGTCTGTTTGTACAACTTGACATAGGGTTTTTCCTTATTGATGTAATGAAAAATGAAGTTAAAATTGCAACAAAAAGAAAAGTCGTTAAAAAGTATTTTAAAAAAAACACGCGAAACCAAAATAAATATAGTACTAAAAAAATGTTTAGAAAAAAAAAAAAAAACAAGTTCGGAACTACCGCGAAGTTAGTGAGATTCGAAATATTGCTGCAATGGTAATACCGAGGTAGGCCCACTTGAAGACTCATAAACATTGCGCGCTATATCAGCCGACCTTGTATTATACGCCAGTGCGTTCATGCATATCACGGTAGTTTTGAGTGTAACCTAGCTGTAACTGGTTTAAGTGCTGGACCACATATATTTACACCCTATTGATCATTTCTGTATTTGACCATAAAAAAAAACTATTCTGCAAAGTTTTATCCATTTGTAACTGGAACGTAAGCAATTTAAATGACCCTCAGATTTACACCTAACATGGATCGCCTCCAACATATAATAGCATCTTCATTGTAACTTGGTTAAACTTTCCCAAAAGTTTTATCCGGATCAGTTGACCCATTTTTGTATATCTGCTCTGGGACCTTTTCATTTGATTATTCCGATCCACACCATACTACGGATCGTCACAGAAATTTAATAATTTCTTTTACTAGAGCTTAACAAACTGTTATAGAAAGTTTTAAGTATACCCACTGATTTTTTAAGGGATAGTTAGGTCTAAAACCTCAAAAATTTATGACACTCAAATTTAAACCCTCAATTGGATCGTCCCCAACACATAATAATGTCTTCCTTGTAACTTGGTTAAACTTTCCCGAATGTTTCAGATCAGTTGATCCATTTTTAAAATATGTGGTCTGGGAGCTTTTCCTTTGAATGGTCCTCAGATTCACACCCTACTCCTGTCCGGATTGTCACAAAAATTTAACCATTTCTTTCCCAGACCTTGACCAAACAACATGACGATCAAATTTACAGCCTTGACTGGATTGTCCCCAACACATAATAATTTCTTCCTTGTAAACTTTCCCAAAAGTTTCATTAAGATCAATTGACATTTAGAAATATCCAGTGTAGACTGCCTTAAATCACTTTAATTGGCAATCACACGCACACCCCATCCTAGATTGACACTAAATATTAGGAGGCACATTCTTGGTATATGGTCTATGCTTGGGTAAAACACGGAAAAGTTATGAAGATGGGAAGTGACCGGCCAGAAAAACAAACCAGTGCAAAAAGATAGGAAAAAGTATGCAAGAAAAAAGAAAAAACAAAAGTCAGAACAAAAGCAATGGCTTCCCAGCTACTGCCCGGAAAAGCCAAGCAAACAAAATATTCATTTACAAGCTAATAACAAAGGCGATTTCAAAGGATTTGAAACGAGGGTGCACCAATTTCATATAGTCATAATGTAATATAATTATACAGATGCTCATTGACTTGCATAACTATCTGCTAAAAATATGAACAGACATGGCCAAACAGTTTGGCAAAAAAAAAAAACCACACATTGTATCTTGTAAATGTTTAGGTTAGGTACAACCTGCAGACTACAGTAGTACGATAAATGAATTTCCCACACACTATCATTTCTGTCATCGATGTTGTCTTCATTGATACCATTACCTTGTCATTTTGTTAAAAAGAAAATATATATATAACAAAACAAAACAAAAAAAAACATCAAACACACTTTTCTTGTTCAAATAAATAATTGTTCAATATCTATACCTTTAGTATGACAATGACTTTCCAACACACTGACATTTCTGTAATCCATATTGTTTCCATTGACTCTGTACCAGAAGGTCGCATTTCATGTTGTTCTTTTACTGGTGCATTCTGAATATACTTCGTGTTTTCATCCACTTCTGAAATACGTGGGCAACTAACACTACCAGCATTTGTAGGATTCATTGCCATTTAAAATGCAGTTGACATTGTATTATTAAAGAGCTGTTTAAATCTTGTATAAAGACTCGGCTATAAACAGAGTACCAATTATTGTAACAGTTTAAGTAATAATAACTGATTGTGGTATCTTGCTTTCCAGGTGTGGAACTTAATATCAATCATACAGCTCACATGACAACTTTTAGCGGCTATTTATTGGCTGCAGCAGTTAATTAAAGATAAGTTGAAATCACTGAAGCATGCAGTTAATTGTTTGGCGTCTCTGTAGATGGTATTAATTGTATATGATTTGCAATATTACAGTGAGCAGACAAAAAAATCCTATTTCAGGGTAGGGATAAACTTCTGTTGTTTTAAGGGCACTTTGACACTTTCCGAAACGGACAAATGGTCAAATCAAGACATATTGATTCAGATTTTAAGATTCAGATATTTGTCACTTCAAAATATTGGTACATCATGTAATCGGTTCCCGTGGTTCAAAAATACAAACAAGACCTATTCCCTTTCATATATACATGGATAGATAAAACAAACATTGAATAATCAATGCAAACTGCCTAAACGTTGTATTTTATTTGAAATACCTTGAAACGTTCGTACTAAATTTTATACCATCTTCACAAGGAAATTATCTCGAGAATCTGTATGTATAAGATAAAACATGAATACTTTAAAGGTAAAGTGTCAGAAGGGCCACACCTACCTCAGTCCCACCATGGTTGGAGCTGAACTTAAAAATATCACTCATATTTTTTTTTAAATTATGTTTCTTGCTTCGATTTGCAATACATCAAATATCTTTTGTAAAAAAAATAGGAAATGGTAAATATCGCATTATCACAACATTTGCATTCAACACGTTATATCGTCATTGCGGACTTATAAAATCCGCATACGCCTTAAAACTAAAAGAAAATGCATACATTTAGAGTCCGTACTGAGCCCAAAAAATCCGCAATGAAAATATAACGTGTTATTCTCAGTTTTAATGCATCTATAGGTAAAATAGATACCGGTGGGTGAGCACCAGACGTTAACACCCACCTCGGCCCCACCATGGTTAGTGCTGAGGCGAAAAAACATTAGGGATAAAATCGCTTTAAATGCCCGGAAATACAGTAACATTCTTCGACTTAAAAATTTAGATAGTTTGGTTTTGGATGAGATGTTTTTTGCTTCGATTTGCAATACATCAAATATCTTTTGTAAAATAAATTGGAAATGGTAAATATCGCATTATCACAACATTTGCATTCTCAGTTTTAATACATCTATAGGTAAAATAGATACCGGTGGGTGAGCACCAGACGTTTAACACCCACCTCGGCCCCACCATGGTTAGTGCTGAGGCGAAAAAAACATTAGGGATAAAATCGGTTTAAATGCCCGGAAATACAGTAACATTCTTCGACTTAAAAATTTAGATAGTTTGGTTTTGGATGAGATTTAAACATTAATGAAATAGCATTGTTAGACTTAAAACATTTTATGTGTCTTGATTAAAATTTTAGTGAAATCATATAATTTTATGTGAATTTGTGAAAAACAGGGGGAACAGTACCAGGAGTATCAACACCCCCTCATTCAAACCAAGGTTGGGGCAGGGTTTAAAAAGAAATAAGGACGTGACAACTCTAGATCCAGGAAATTGCACTTTTAGACCTTAAAAACTGTTTCGAAAGGGTCATACTTTGACATTAAAAATTTCCAACACACCTACTTTGCTTTAATTATGAAAAAGAAAAAGCATCTGTTTATAAATTTAATGAAACTATGGAGTTTAAAGGCTTTTTTTTCTTTTTTTATAGAAAAATAGACTTATTTTCATGCCAACACACATGTATGCAGCCCTAAGTATAGAAATGCACTGGCACGCATTATTTTGTTCCATACAGTTAAGGCAGAAATTATAGAGGGCGTTATTTTAAGTAAGCCTACCGACTGATCAAAAACTTTTTTTTTTAATTTTTTACATGGCCATCATGTTGGTTCATCAGTTGAACTTTTCAATTTTCCTCTCCTACTATCACTTGGTGACAGCGAAGCTGAGCCATTAGAACTTTTAGAGCCCCGAGAGTGGTGTATTATGTTGTAGCATAATTTTAAAAAGTGGCCAATAATCTATGTAGAAACTTCTGATTTCCTATATCTGTCACAAATAATGTATATAATTTCTAAGATAAATGTACAGTAATTAGTAATAAATTTTCTTGGTTTTCTCTCACTCATTTAGCGCTGACAAAAAGTAGTGAGAACTCTGTCGGTTGCTTGATCTCTCTCCTCTTCACTAAGGCGTTACGTAGTAACCCGGAAGTTACACCGCGTTAGAACAAAACAAAGAGATTTAAATTTGTTAGATTCATAAATTCAATAGAACCCTTATTAAGGGGACACATTCAGGACCTGAATAGGTTTATCCTTACTCAGGGGACACTAACCGAAAACATAAAATCTACAATATCTCCACATTTCGATTGAGTTGCTTTAATCGTCTTCAGGAGAATAATTCTCCTGAAGACGATTGAAGCAACTCAATCGAAACGTGGAGATACTGTAGATAATCTAAAAAAAGCAACAGTTCTTTTCAGAACTATCTTGGTGGTGTAAACAAATAATTAACAACAATTACATAGAGCTTTCTATTAGATAGATGTAGCATGCATAGAGTAATATGATTTGATGTGGATTAGAATCCTATATGAAATACACGAAGAAAACAAAGAAAAAGAAATCCAAATTGTTAAGGGTCAAAATTGACAAAATTGGTTTACGAAGTAACACGCTGTAGGCCTATACTGATATTTCTCATGCATTAAGGCGAGAAAATTGTGGTTTATTGCTCAAAAAGTGTCAAAATGTAAAGTTTAATAAATTTTTCTTATTTTTAGAGTGCTGTAGATGTTGTGATACAATGAAAAAAAATATGTGTCCCCTTATTAGGGGTTACTTGACCATATATGGCACACTCAGAAGTGTCCCGTCCCCTTATAGGGGTTGGCTGTAGTGTAAGATATTTCCCCACCCTCCTTTTCACAACGGTGCATTATGAAAGGTCATTTGGCCTCGTTTAAAAAAAAAAATCGAATGCCATTTTGGTAGTGTTTGT